ATCTGGATTTTTATCAAGCCATCCAGATCAGAATGGAAACTCTCCACGTCTCCGGATGGGCCTCTTCTCTCCGTCCTCTACCCCATCTGTGCCAACCACCTGAAGCTGCATCCCCAGCCCTCGGTCAGCCGGGACCAGACACAGGTGACTGGCCTCAGATCGAGGAGAACCCGGTCTCCAGTCCCTGCCCTGCTCCAATCTGCTGATGTCCTTACAGGGGTGCATCGCCCTGCTGGGCCCTGGCTGCCTCCTCTGTACATGACGGGTCAGGCCAGTCTCTCTCCACGAGGCCCCCCCGGCGTGTCACTGTGGTTCCAGGCTTCACCGAGGCTCCCGAGAAGGAAACCAGTGACGGTGCCTGCTCCTTTGGCCTCCAGATTCCCCATGAGAGCCTTCCCTCCTTGCCCCAGCTCCAGATCAGAGCAAAGCCACAGTAACCACCAATCCTAGGTCAGCCTTGCACAGCTTGTGACCTAAAAGAAGAAGGATGAGACTCCTTGTGCTAGGAAGGGCTGAGTGGCACCCCTTCCCACCCATTGGGATGGCTAGGGTTTTTACTGTGGGAAAATAACAAGTGTTGACGAGAATGTGGAAGCACCGGGACTATTTGGCTGTGCTGCTGGGAATGCAAAACGGTGCAGCCGCGGCGGAAAAGAGTGCGGTGCCTCCTCATGAAGTTAAATAGAATAACCACATGACCCACGCAGTCCACGCCCAGGTATACACCCCCCAAAAACAGGAAGCAGAGACTTGAACAGCCTGTTGTACACAAAACCTGAGTTCATGGAAGCACTATTTGCAGTAGCTAAGAGACATAAATAGCCCAAGTGTCCATCGACAGAAGAACAGGTGAACAAAACATGATGTGCACTGGAATACTACTGAGCTGTAAAAAAGAGTGGAACTGGGGTGTCGGCTCCAACATGGACAGACCTCACACACATTATGGAGAAATATAGCCAGTCACAGAAGGACAAGCGTGACGCGATTCCACTCACACCAGGTACCTAGAACAGGCGAACTCCTGGAGACGGAAAGGAGAGTAGAGGTTACTAGGAGCTTGGAGGAAGGAGGAAGGCGAGTTATCGTTTGATGGGTGTGAAGTTTACGTTGGGGATGATGAAAAAGTTTAGGGTGTAGGTAGTTGTGATGGTAACATAGCATTGTGAATGTAATTGATGCCACTGAATGGAATACGAATAAATGGTTACAATGGAAATATATACATATATATATATATAAAATGTATCTTCTACCAGTTTTTTTCTTAAAGGCCTAAGAGGCTCTGCACAGCTGCTCATCACATGACACAGCTCACGTGTGTGACACAGTGGGCAGGTCATGTGAGGCAGCAGCTGGGCTGATGACCGAACACTGGCAACCCCTGTCTTCTGTCACCTGCACCCCTTACCCTGACCTTGAGCTCTTTGCTCAGCAGTGGGGGGCGGCCCTGCTGAGCTGTGCCCTTTTGCCCTTGGCCTGCCTTCCCGCCCAGCAGCTGCAGCCTCGCCTGGCCCTGGTGCAGAGCTCTCTCCTGCCCAGCTGTCCTTGGGAGGGAGACAGTCCTTTCCTGGTGGTCAGTGACATCTAGACTACCACCATTCACCAGAGAGAGAAGGGACAGCTGAAGGGGAAGGAATGGCTGAGACTGGAGTCCCAATCCTCTACCTACCAGGTGAAAGATCGTTCTGCTTTGTTTCCTTCTAAGCCAAGCTTCTGGCCCCAAAGAGCAGGACTAGCTGCATCCCTCCTCTCCACTGCTTCCCAAGCCTCTAAGAGCATTTTCTAGCAGCTAATTTCTGGAAATCATCGACACAGACCTTCAGCCTCTGCCCTTTTGTTTTGTTTTCCAGAAAGTTTAGGATTCTGAAATCCTAAAAGGCAGAGGAAGAAGCTGAGTTGAAATAATTGCTGAAGATAGCACAGCATAGATTAGACCTCAATGCCTTTCACATCATCTAAAGAGATTACCTGGTAAATCGGTAGGTCTCGGAGACCAGGATCTTCTCTCTGCCCCTCTCTGCCTTCCCCACTGATCACCCTTTGCCTGCAAGACTCCAGACCTTTGACACAGGCTGTCTGGTGATAAGGGGTACATTAGTATAGTGGAGAGGCTCGTCTCAAAGCTTCCTAAGCACAGGGCCTCATCTCTTAATTTAGCTCAATGCCCTGCCTCTCTTCGGGTCAGGGAGTTCTGTTCCTGCTCCTCCACCCTTCCTTCACCACCGAGGGGCGCCGTGGTTCCCATTGCTCACAGCCACGGAGACTCAGAGAGCCAGGGCCCAGGCGTAAAACTGGCCGCAATGTTTGTCGGCTCCCGTGTTTATTAGCTGAGTTACTCTGGGCAACTTCATCCCTGCAAACCTGTTTTCTCACCTCCAAAATGGACTTAATTCTAGCACCTCCACAGTCAATTATTGTGTGCAACAAATGAGACAAAATGCGTGTAAAACCCTTAGCACCATCCTTACCATATTGTCGGCGCTTAACTATTGTGAACTGAGATCAGAGTTGCTCCTCCTCCTTCTCCTCCTCCTCCTTCCTTTCCCTTGATGGTCTTCTTCGGATTTGCAACTTCCATGATGAGGACTTCTATCATTGACTTCCTTGTCTCTGTGTGGGAAAATTGAACAGAATGGTGGAAAGTAAGAAGGTAAATATGGCATCTCTTCGTGTCCCCCACTGGCCCCTGCCATGGCCCAGGTCAGCTTCAGAACCCGGATGCTGGGCGTCAATAACTGGCTGCAGCCCTGGACTTTCCCACACGGCCCCCCTGGTACCCATCATGGTGTTGGGGCTGCCACTTTCCACATTTCACCACAGCCTCTGTCCTTGGTGGACCTGGTAATTCACACGCTGAGGGGGCCTGCTTTGGATCCTGGGACCTGCGGACACGCAGCCCAGGCAGGCTGTGCAGCTGGGCAGCAGCTGCTTGACTCTCTGAGAGTGGGTGGGATCTGAACCCCCGCGGCCACCACCTCCAGGCCAGGAAGGTCCTCCTGGGCTTGCTTTTTGTTTGGTTTCCCTCCCAGATCCAGATGCTAACCAGTTCCACCTCCTGGGAAGGGCACGTCTGCCACCTGCTGGCCACGGGCAGCATAGCACCTGGCTGCACCTCGGGCTCCAGTTGAGAACTAGGATGTGTATGTAGTATCTCCTTCAGGCCCAGGCACAGGTCTGGGAGGGTCTTTTCCACCCTGTGCCTTGAAGTCCTCCCTCCTGCCCTGCCCACGTCCTAGGGCAGAAGGTGGCCAGGCCTGGCCCACACTATGCAGCTCAAATAGGAGAATTCAAGGGGTACCTCCGTCTCCTCGGGCTGACGGGGAGAGAGGGGCAGACCCTGCCAAGCTCAGTGGAGGGAAGATGAGGCAGAACGGAGGGCGGGGACCAAGGCAGGGCCAGCTGGCTGTGAAGGACACGCCTGTGTCCTCACGTGCTCCTTCTCAGCGCTGCCCCGTCACTGGAGCCCAGAGGGGTCAGTTTCGGATGTTCCCGGTTCACGCAGCCCAGGACCACCCTGGGGCCTGAACCTGCCCTTCCTCTGCAGAGCCTCCCCATGGCCAACCTGCTGCCCCCCAACCCCCCGAAACGAAGTGCCTACCCCTGCCTCGTTTCCCACAGCAGCAGGGCTGCGGACTGTGAGGCCACAGAACAGGCCCCATCCAGGCGGCCCGCGGCCCCCCTTCTGTTCCGTGACTTTCTGTCCAGTCCCCGACCTTTTATTTTGTAGTTTTGCAAACCTGCCGAGGAATGGAAAGACTAACACAATGAATATTCTTCACCCAGACAGACGCGACAGCAAACACTTTGCCACATTGCTTTCTGTTGCTCTCTCGTGTGTGTGTGTGTGTGTGTGTGTGTGTGTATGTGAGATCAGTGGTTTGCTGAGTCATTTACACCTAAATTGCAGACATCACCTTTACCACTTCAGCACGCCCGTCCTATAAATACGAACATTTTCCTACAGAACCACTATACCATCACCACCCACAGAAAGTTCAGCATCGAGACAATAATACCATCTCCTATTAGTCAATATTCAAATTGCCCAGTTGTGCCAGTATGTCCTTTATAGCTGTTCTCAAACACTTAGGACGCAGTCGGGGATCCCTCGCTGCCTCCTGCTGTTGTGTCTCTTCAGTCTCACTTAGTAAAGAACAGGCTTCACACCTTTCTTCATCTTGTACGACGCTGGCCCCTTCAGGGGCCCAGGCCGGCTGTTTTCCAGGAAGCCCAAGCCCCGGACCTGTCTTGTTCCTCACGACCAGGTCAGGGTGAGCATTTTCGTCAAGAAGGCTTCTTGTTGAGGCTGTGCCCTCCGTACCTCACTTCGGGATGCATTCTCTCTTTTGATCTTTCTTTCCTCATTGAGCATCTGCCTGGCTCCCAAAATGAGTAAGGAAGGTGACAGTAACACAAAACTTAAAAAAAGAAAAACGAAGGAACGTCTGCTGACCGCAGAGGCAGCAAACACACCGAGCTGCCTCGCTGGACGTGGGCACCAGGACAGTGACCTCGGCTTTCTGGCCACCGGGACCCAAAGGGAACGTGTCAGGTGACAGACCTCTGGTTCCTAAATCAGAAGTCAGCACACTTCTTTTGTAAAGTACCAGAGAAGAACTGCTGGGTCCTATACTGTCCCTGTCCCAGCTGCAGCAAAGCAGCCATAAACAGCATGTAAGCAATGGGCGTGTCCCTGTCCCAGTAAAAGTTTCTTTATAAAAACCATAACCACTGGGTTTGGCCCAAGGGATCTTCATGTACTGGCCCTGGATTCGAGCGGAAGGAAATACTCCAGTTAGTAAATGAGTGAAGCTTTCTTGTTATGCCTTCTCAGAGGAACTGTCGATATTGTTATTTATTCAGCAAAGCCTCTGTGGGGAATGCCTCTGACCAAGCGCCGTGCTGGTCTGTGGAACTGCATCAGCGACGAGCCTGGCCTTTCTGGAGACCCCGTCAGCCAGCTCGGTGGGCTCACTCTGTGTCATTTTGTCTTTCAGTTCCCCCTGATGTCTCTCTTCCTAGACCTGGACCCAGGTGAGTGCACCCATCGCCCTGGGGTCCCCACCAGCCCCGGGCTGGTTCTGGGGTGGAGGAAAGGGGACCCACACATGGGAGTGTCGGTGTGACCTCAGAGTTCTGATGGTTCAGACGGGTCACTGACTCCTTTGGGGATCGTCCCAGAAAGACGCTCTCCTGGGTGTCTGTGTGTCCATGCACGCACTGAACGCTTCACACGGTTTCCAGTTGCCCGTGGAGATACCTGACACCCGGTCTCAAGGGAAAAATTGCTGATGCAGTTAAGCCCCTTCCTTTTATGGAGGATGAAACTGAGGCCCAGAGAGGGGGCACAATGAGCCTGAGATTACCCAGCCCGTTGGTGGCTGAGGTGAGGCGACAGGTACAAGACAAAGTGAGGACGTCACTGAGCAATGACTGGCTCCAGGCGGGCCAGCCCTGTGTTACCCCCTTAGGTGGGAAACCAGCCCCTGTAGGCTGAGAGGATGGTGTCAGAGCCGAGCAGGTGGCCCCCAGGCTGACCCGCCCCTGGTGGGAGTCGGGGCACTCCCACCAGTACCCGACCTGGTCCGTTTCCTCAAGATTCAATGTGTGCACTCCCCAGTGAGCCCTGCTCCTGCGCGTGGGCTGTCCCCATGGACTCGCCCCTCCCCCGCTCACCTTCCCCCTCTCCTGTCTCCTATGCCCGGTGCCCACGGCCAAGCCCGGCCTGAGCAGGGCGTTTCCTCCAGGCCGCACCGTCCACTTTCGGTCTCTGACTCTGGGTCCGAAGCCTCCCCTGCTGCTCTGAGACCTAAGAAAGAAAAGTCCGCTCCCTACTCCATCGGGGCAGAGGCAGGCAGCCCCTACTGGTAGTGACCAGGGCTGGCCAGCCATAAAGGACAACAGCTGGCAGACAGCACGCGGACACTGCAATCCTGTCTAACCTGTGGACTTAGTTGGAGTAGAGGTGGCAATTACCAAATCCCATGTAGCTGTCAGTGTTCCTCTGCAGCAAAGCCTCAGACTGGCAGCCAGACTCGCGTCAGCTCAAAGCAGTCCATGGCCGGCCCCCATCCTGCCCCGTGGGCTCAGAAGTGTCTGTGGAGGTGAACAAAACTATACGTGAGCATCAAGGGTGGGTTTTGAAGGGACCTGTGTCTCTCCCCAAAGCAGAGGAGAATGTTCAATCCAACAACACAAAATCCAGTTCCTTGGAGAATCCTATTTCAGAGGGCTCTCCGGAATGGCCACCCACCTGTGGACTCCAAGGACAGCGCAAGCCGAGTCGCCTCCCTGGCCTTGAGCACTAAGTGCCCAGGCCCCGTCAAAGGGGCTGCTTTGGTCCGGGTGTCAGAGAAACAGAGCTACAGAACCGTGGTGTCACCCAGTGGAAGAGACAGGAGCATAAGATTCAAGGGACCTCACTCTCTTTAAGCATTTGAAACACAGCCCCACCCCTCATCCATGAGGGGAAGTTGGTGGGAAATAAGAGGCATCTTTACCTCATGACATGTTACTGCCATCTGCCAGAAAGTTGAGAAAGATGTTGACAGTGATTCCAAGTCTGTGGGGCTCTGGAATTGCGCAGTGAACGACACAAACAACTACAGTAAGTGGTGCCCCTTCTGAACAGAGGTCACGGAAAAAGGAGTGGGTTCATTCCATGTGTCCAGAAAGCTTTAAATAGACTAGAGGCTCTAGGGTCAGGTTTGATCTGCAAATAGGAAGAACTTCCGAATCACCACAGTTGTCCAAAAGTCTGTATAGACTCCTGGACTCTTGTAAGGCAATGACCTCACCATCACTGGTAGTATTTAAGTACAAGCTAAAACACAACCTAGCCAGGAGTGGAGATTGTTGGATTTATACCATGAAACTCTGGGCCCCATGAGGACTCTGCCAATAGTTTCTGATAGTGTGGTTTTAGAAGGGACTGTGGAGTATACCACCTGGGCTTCTGGGTTTACCCCGAGGTGCTCTGCCAGCCTCTGGCTGCAGAGTGGGGTGAGATGCCAGGGCTGCTCTTTCTGCAAAGAGCAGGTCAGGTTTTAAAAACACCCCTGTTCTGGTCTGATTTAATTTCACAGAGGGGTTGTGCTTTGATGAAACGTATCAGATCCCAGCAGGCTTTCAACAACAACGTAGCCAAGGAAACACTTCTCAAGGCCACAGGCAAACTCTTTCTTCCACTGGTCTTGTTGGAGACACTGCACGGTGAGGGTCTTCCTGGAGCAGAAGGTGCCCAAGCCACAACCCCCAATGGGTGGCAGAGGAGGTGGGCATCAAACAGCACAGGCTCTGCCCATCTCCCCAAAGCAGGTGACGCGGCAGCCAACAGGCCTGCGGAAATGCCTCTTCAAAGCGGGCTCAGCTCTGCCCAGCCACTCAGCCTGAGCCCATCCATCAGCTGTCCTGCCAGCTGCCAGGGAGGGTCTCCGCTGGGCTTGCCCTGTCAGCCAGACTGGAAGTGTCAAATGCAGACCGACAGGGCTGGGGTTTGGGGGAGGAACCGTCTGTGCCACGGTGATGGATGATGCCAACAGGGACAGCATTCCAGGGATTTTCATTCCGTTCCACACATCTGGCGAGCTGTTTATCCAGAGCAGCTGCAAAGCCTCCGTTGCAGGAACTCCGGAGTTATATTCGAGACACCCCGGGTCTGGACCACGGTAATCCTGGCCGAGGGACCAGGAACCTTTGCGAAAGAAGATTTTCCAGTGCATGTTACCTCCTGGAAGCTAAGACCCGTGGAGTTTCATGAAATGTAAACCCACAAAGGGGCCCCGGTGCTTATAAAAAAAAGCACACCAGACATGGAGTTAGACTCGCTTTCAGATAGCATCTCTTGCTGCCCTAGTTTTTGCTTTTCTATAAAGTAGGAATAATAATACCTATGCCATATAGGGTTATCCTAAGGTTAAATAAGATTGTGTGTAACACATTTGTTTAGTGTAGTATCTAATACATATAAAATACTTGACACATAATAACCTCTTATTAGGATTATTTGGGTTAACACAGGATTCTCTCACTATTCTTCCTGATAAATTCTAGAAACAGACTCTGATAAATAGACTAATCCACAAGGATTTCTTTTTATAGCTATTATACCTTTTTATACGTATTGTATATGATATGCTTCTGACAGCTGCCCCATTCTTCCCTGAAAGCTCTACCCTTTTCTGTAGCCCAGAGAAAGTCTCAAGTAATCTGTATTTGAACCAGGAGTGTTTTTCTACAATTGTCTAAGGGTGCTTGGACCAGTTTCTAGACTCCTACATAGCTCAACAAGCATTTTTCTCACAAACTACCTGACCCAGATCTCATATACTTTCTCTCCTAAATTCCCTGTTTACGCTGCTCCAAGCAGACTTTGCCATCTTTGCTGGCAAAGCTAAGTGCCCACTGCGTGCAGGCCAATCAGAAGGAAGGACTTGGCAACTTCCGGTCAAGATGGAGATGTAGGTAATTAGGCTTTGCCTCCTTGAGCAACCACAACAAGAATTACAACTAAATCTTAAAAACAAATAACACTGGGAACTGTTAGAAAATTAAGCTGTATGGAAGTCTGACAACCAAAGATTTTAAGAAGCTACAGCCATCCAGACAGGTGGAGATGAGGAGACAGACAGGGTGGAGAAGCAAGGTGTGGCATGGAGCAGTGGCAGCAGTGTCAGAACAGACACGGGTGGTCCCACATCCACATGTGGTGGTTAAAAATTGGGAGGGATACTTTGGGAGTGAGCAGTCTCAGCCCCAGGCCAGACCTCACAGCCCAGGCTTCCAACACCAGGAAGATAAATCCCCATCAATTCTGGCTATAAAAACCAGTGGGGATTGCGGTGGTGGAAGCAACTGCCAGATTTTTCAGGAAACTTTACTTGAAGGGCCTGCTCACAAACCCACCCATTCTGGGATTCAACACCAGGGCAACAGCTGGAAAGTGCACCAGTCACATACAGGGAGTAGATGAAGTGACTGGAAATGGGGGGAGTGCCAGGCAAACCCCCAGAAGCCAGGCATCAGCACAGTCCCTTCTCCAAGCCTTCCCCCCACATGGAACCACAAAGCAGTGAAGTGGGTTGCCCCACCCTGGTGGCTACCTAAGGCTCTGCCCCACACAATTTACAGGTGCCTTTCACAGGAAGTCAAAGCAGCTCTACCTAAGACACAGAAACAAACACAGGGAGGCTGCCAAATTGAGGAGACAAAGAAATATGGCCCAAATGAAAGAACACTGCGAAACCCAAGAAAAAGGACTAAATAAAACCAAGATAACAAACCTCTCAGATGCAAAGTTCAAAACAATGGTGATCGAGATGCTCAAAGAACTCGTTGATTATGGTAACCAACATAAAGGAATAAAAGAACGTTACACTAAATGAAATGAAAAATAATCTACAGTGAACCATCAGGGAAGGGAAGGAAGCCAGGATTCAAATCAAAGATTTGGAACATAAGGAAGGAATAAACATTCAACCAGAGCAGAAAGAAGAAATAAGAATTCAAAAAACAAGGATAGTATAAAAAGAGTCTGGGACATCTCCAAATGTGCTAACATCTGGATCACAGGAATGCCAGAAGGAGAAGAGGAAGAACAAGACATGGAAAACTTATTTGAAAAAATAATGAGAGAAAACTTTCCTAATTTGGTGAAGGAAATAGACATACAAGTCCAGGAAGCACAGAGTCCCCAACAAGTTGGGCCCAAAGAGGACTACATCAAGACACTTCATAATTAAAATGCCAAAGGTTAAAGATAAAGAGAGAATCTTAAAAGCAGCAAGAGAAAAGCAGAGAGTTCCTGTAAGATTTCTCAAAAGAAACTTTGCATGCTAGAAGGGACTGGCAAGAAATGTCCAAAGTGATGAAAAGCAAGGACCTACAACCAAGATTCTCTATCCAGAAAAGCTATCACTTAGAATCGAAAGGCAGATAAAGTGTTTCCCAGACAAGGCAAAGCTAAAGGAGTTTATCATCACCGAACCTGTATTATATGAAATATTAAAGGGACTTATTTAAGAAAAAGAATAAGATCAAAACTATGAAAAGTAAAATGGCAACAAACTCACAACTATCAACAATCAAATCTAACAAAAAATTAGCAAACAAAATCATACATATGGAGATTACTTGGAGGGTTATAAGCTGGTGGAGAGGGAGTGGAGAATATAGGAAAAGGTACAAGGATTAAGAAACATAGATGGTAGGTACAAAATAGACAGGGGCATGTTAAGAACAGTATAGGAAATGGAGAAGCGAAAAAACTTATATGCATGACCTATGGACATGAACTAAGGGGAGGGGACTGCTGGAGGGAAGAAGGGTACTGGGTAGAGGGGTCAAAGGAGGAAGAATTGGGACAATTGTAATTAAATAACATAATAACATAACTGGGACAACCTAAAGAAGGAAGGGCTTGGTCACAGAGGGAAAAATTAATCTGTCAGACACACACATTAACTACACACAGGGATCTATGCTGGGCACTGAGGTAGAAAGGGGAATAGATGTGGCCCTGCTCTTAAGAAACCAACTATCACATTGGAGGAAACAAATCAGACAGGACAAGATAAATACTAACCCCAGGGGAGAAGTGCTGTCTGAGATCCAGCCATGGAGCCTGAAACTCAGCAGCTACCAAGCCACTGAGGAATGTTCTGGTATCTAAAATTCTAATCCCATCAGCAACGCTGTAGCCATCAAGCCCTGTGTGTACATTTGTTATTACTGCATAATATACATACCACCCCAAATGCAGTGGTTTTAACCATTAACAGTGTATTTAGATCTTAATTCTTCAGGCTGGTAATGTAGACTGGGGTTAGCTGTGCAGTTCTGGTCTGGACCCGGCTGAGCTGGTGGATTGGCTGGGCTTTCTCACATGTTGGAGACCTTGGCCGGGACCAATGGCCTTGCTGGTGCCTCTCATGTTCTCTCATCACCCTGTAAAATAGGCTTCATTTGTCCCCATGGCAGTCGCTGGGGGGCCATGAGAGGGAGGAAGAGAGAGAGGAGGTTCACAGACTTCTTGAGGCGCAGGCACATGTTCACTACATGCTATCAACCAAACCAAGTCCCAAAGGCAGCCCAGACCAAAATGCTGGGGAAATCGGCTTTATCTTTTGGTGAGAGGAGCTGCAAAGTCACAGGGCAAAAGGTGTGGATCCAGGAAGAGGTGGGAATCGGGGCCTTTTTTTTTTTCTATTGGATTAGTACAGACCACACCAGAGGGCCACCAGGCATGGACTCGGCCACATCTGGCTTCCCTACCTCCTCACTACCCTTTCATATCCCTCCTTGGCTAGCTCTCTGTCCCCACCCAAACCAGACAAGAGGCTCCTTTGACAGAGGCCACATCCCACTCTTACTTGTATTACACATACTTGGCCCATTGAAGGTACACAATGCACACTTTTCATTTAGACAATGGGACTGAATGCCAACAAAATAGAAGAGATACAGTAAGCTTTAAGAAACCCTCCCAGGAGAGGCTCCCAGAAAGCACTTTCAACATATGTTACAACCCATCCCAAACGTAAGGGATCTTCGTGCCCTTCCTTGCACAGCCCTCCAGCTGATGGCTTCTGGTACTCTGTGACTGCCAAGGCTCTCCTGATTCAATCCATCTTTACCAAGGGTCCTGGGCTCTGGGGAACAGCAGGGGCATGATTCAAAGCCTACATATTTTATTCCCTCCTTAGCTTCCTTGAGAAATGAGCGGACCTTGTCCTGAGGTCTGGATTCAAGTCAAAATCCTCCAACCAACAGCTCATCCATCCTCCATCACCCAGAAAAACCATTCCATTCCATCTACGTAAAACTCTCATCTCCAAATATCTGCAAAGGGGTTGATTCATTTGTCTTCTAATTTACTCTTTATTGTATTTGTTTCAGTGCCATTTAGTCCCCTAAAGGGGTTGATTTCTAATGGCCTAGCCAAAATTAGCTAGTCTGACCCTCCACCATGGGAGTTATGTGAGAAATTACAGGGGTAATCTGGAGGCACTTATCTATAAAGACCTGTTAGAAAAACAATACTACGTTCTCCAAAGAAAAAAGAAAGAAATAAAGGATGCAATGCCTCATTACCAAACCCTGTTGTCTCTCCCAAATGTCAGTTTGAAATCTTGTATGTCAAACTCAGAAAAACATTTTTCTCTCACTTTCTCTCTCTCTTTCTCTGCTTTATCAAACTAGATGGAAAGAAATTTTATTTGCTCCAGGAAGACAATGGCCTTATCTTCAACCCAGATCCTCATCCCTGGAAAGGTGGCTCCCTCTGGGAGCATTTTCATAGTGGGGAAAAGCAGTTCGGGAGAAATAATGAGCAAGCAAAGGGAGTCTTGACTTGACACTGTGATAAATGAGGTGAAACTCTGGCAAGAAACCAGAGTTGGCAGATTCAAAAAGGAAATAAAAAGATAGTTCCATTTTAATGGGAAATATAAAACAGCCATTGTGCAAAAGTCGATTTTTCAAAAGCCAAAGAGATAAAGACTATAAGGGAATGACTGAGAGAGGAGTGAGGTAATGTGGTTGATAACCGCGATCAGGTAAAGTGCCAGTCTCAGAGCCATCAGCTGGCTCCGTGGGAGCGCCTTTTCAACTCTTGCTATCTGCATTTTCTCCTGCCTCATTATCATATGCATCTCTGGGCGGCTTCTGTGGGGCTTCTGCCCGCCATGCTCCTGCCAGCTGGAGACAGCAAAGTCAGTGCCGTACAATGCACATTTTTTATCTAGACAACGGGATTAAGTGCCAACAGAATAGAGAAGACAAAATAAGCTTCAAGTTCAGAGGTGAAGAAACCCTCCCAGGTGATGCTCCCATAAAGCACTTTCAACACACATTGCAGTCCATCCCAAATTTAACGGATCTTCGTGTCCTTCCATGCACAGCCCTCCAGCTGGATGGCTCCTGCAAACTTTCTGCAAATCCCAAACTTCTCTCCATGAGCCACAGAGCTCCTGGTATCCTCCAAAGCCTCAGACCACAAGGAGCTTCAGTCCAGCCTCACATACAACCTGCTTTTCCCAATTGACTGGCCTGGTCTGAGGTCTACACCTGGGGGAACTCCATCCACTGCCTTGTCTTTCAGTGGGAGGGATCCATGAACCTTCTCAAGGCTGTCATTGGGTGATTCCTAATTAGCAGGATGGCTATTCAGTGGGGATGGCTGGACCCCTTCCCCAAGGGCAAGCGTAGATGTGTCTGAGGCCTGTGAGAGGCTGGTGGGGGCAGTTAAGCCAGTGCAATTTTCAGGTTCTATGGAGGTAAACTGTCTTAATTTATATCCTACTGTTTATTAGCTATGTGACCTTGGGCAAGTTACTTGACCTCTTTCAACCTCAGGTTTCTCTACTTAAAATAGATATAATAACACATCTAGATTTTTATGAAGATGAAATGAATGGATCATGTAAAATGCTTAGTACATAGTAAAGGCTCAGTAAACATTAGCTGTTATGATGACTTTCTAGACACAACTTGGGAGAGTTTGATGCTATAACCAAGGTGACAGTGTTATTTCTTTGACTTCATTAAGCTAAGGTGACTCATAATGTCCCATTAAGAAATTTCATTCACAGAACCACCCAACAAGACACAGAAGTGCCACTGGATATGACCTTGGGCAGATCTTAGATAGGACCTTGGAACACTTTTAGGCTCCAATCATCTTTATGCTGTTTATGGATGAGAAAATGGGGACACTAGGAATGCAATTGCCTTGTCCAAGGTCACAGTTAATGGGAAGCCAGGACTTGACTTCGCATTTCCAGTCAGCTGCTCTTGACGTATCAGTGCCAGTACTGCTCTGCTGGGTTATAAAAGCAACCCCCAACACCATTAAAAAAAAAAAAAGGAAACTCACGATGCTTGACCTCTTGTCTACCCCATCAGTGTGAGGAGCTAGAAAGACACATGCCTCCTTCTTCAGGACTTTGAAATCTTTTGGGGGAAAAAAAACACTTGGTAAAATGAAATGCTGACCTATTTGGATCTAATGACTAGGGTTCCTTTGGCCCTGTTCTCTCACTCCTGTAGATTGGACCCCTGAGAACTATGATTACAGCTCTGAGTACCAAACCCAGGAAGAAAACACCAGTAGTGCTGTCAACCACCTCAGTAATCCTGACTGGTACTACACAGACAACGGTAGGTACTAAAGCCATTGGGGGGCTTGGGGGTGCCTCCCAGGAGGAAGGCAGCATACCTGGAGGGGAGTTCATGTATGACCACATGCAAGGACCTCCTACCACTCTCTGATGGGCATCATCAAACAAGTGTTAAGGAAACGATTTAAACTGGCTGTTTTTCCAGCTATAATTATATACTGTGAGGACTGGGGAGGTTCTTAGAGACCACCTCTCTTGCCTCAAATGACAGATGGCACAAATGAGGCCAAGAGAGGAGATGACTTAGCCAAATTGATACAGCCAGTTGGTGCCTCATCATCTAGGTAGGTCTCTTGATGCTGGGAGTAGGAGTCATATTCAAACTCATCCCCAGAGCTTCCATTACAGGTAGGTCCTAATTAGGAAGAAGAGTCTGAGTTAACATTCAGCACCAGATTGTAGCATGTGCACATTTGGCATTGGGTCTTTCCTTCCCTTACATCTGGGTTGTGTTGTTTTATTTCAGGTTTTTTTTTAATTGATTATTTAGAGAGAAAGAAGGAGGAAGAGAGAGAGGGGGATAGGGAGAGCCAGAGGGAGGGAGGAAAGGAGAGAAGGAGAGAGAAAGAGACTTTATTATTTCACTTACTTATGCATTCATTTGTTTATTCTGGCATGTGCCCTAACCGGGATGAAACCCACAACCCGGGCATACAGGATGGTACGCTAACCAGCCGAGCTACCTGACCAGAGCTTTATTTCATCTTTCAACTCATGAGAAGCCTTTCACAGTTGTCATTATATGTGTGTGTGTGTGTTCTCACACATACATGCTTCTACCACATTTGCTTCTGCTTTTTTGGCGGCTTCTTAACTAAGCAATAGGGCAGAAAGGAAAATGCAAAGCTGGTCCAAGCAGAGCCCTGTGACTAAACCAGAAGAGGAAATGGAAAGCACTAGCAGCTGGAATAAAAGCTGTGTAACTGTGGGAAGTGTCCTGGAAGGCAGGGCTAAGATACGGGGCATCGGGGGAACATCAGAAGGGACCATCAAAACAAGAGCCAGGCCCAGGGATCCTAGTTCCTGAACCAAAGAACAATGTGTGTGAACAGAAGGATAAAGAATTCCCTGAGGGAAGATCCATTCAGACAACCATGAAAAGCCAAAGGCACAGATGAAATATGACAAAATCTAACTGAACAAGTAGTTGAAGAAAGATGAAGGCCACTGGGTCATTTCCTCCTTGCCGTCAATTTTTCTGTCACCCTCTTGCCTTTGGTCTTCTTGCCTGATGTTCAGAAAGCTTATGTTTCGTTAGGGGTGGGTTTTCTTCCCCAGGCCCGACCTCCACCTCTGGGCACTGGGAGTAGGGGAGGTCTACGGGCTTGTGAAATGCATTCAGCATCAGAGACAGACCCCGTGCACTCCCGGCGAGACTGGGAGGAGAAAAACCCTGATGATGGAACGGAGGAGTTTCTCAGTGAGAAAGGCCCCATCGAAACCCAGGCCTATGGGAGATAGGAACTATTCCTTCCCTCCTGCCCTGTTTCCAACCTGAATCCTTCTCTCTGCTCACATGACTGCTGTTTTCCTTGCTCTTTAAAGGCAGTGTGTGTTTCCCCCTTTCCCCAGTCACTGCTTATGTAGTTACTTTCTCATTTGGGTAGGAGACTGAAATGTGATGTGTAAGTAGGAGGTTTCTCGCCTCCTGTTCATTGTAAACGTTGCTTTCTGCCTGTGTTTCAGACCCATGCCTGCCCAACCCCTGTGGACACGGCGGGGACTGCCTTGTCAGTGGGGACACTTTCACATGCAGCTGCCCGGCCCCTTTCTCTGGAAGAACGTGTCAGAATGGTGAGTGTACGTCTCTGGATTCACTCTTCTCTCTGAGTTGAACAGGAGGCAGTCTCCTCCTCCATCCCTCGGGGGTCAAGAAGGGCTGAGTGATCCTGCAGAAAGGATGATAACCATGCACATCATATCACATGTTGTGGATTCTTCACCATGGTCATAGGCAGCACCTCACTGAATCCTCACCTCTGTGTGATAAATAGGACTACTATGCCCATTCTGCTGATGAGAATATTGAGGCCAAGAGGAAATAAGAGATGGACTCTGACCAAGATGCATTCCTAACTAAGGAATCTTTGTTTTCTTTTGTTTTGAGTGTTTAGATTAACTACAACCACAAAATATTGTTTTCAAATGGGACAGCAGGAAGAATCTCAGGGCACATAATTCCCCACTCAGTTAGAGAAGGAGAGCACAGAGAGCACATGGGACTTACTCATGGTCACACAGCTAGTAAAGAGAAGAGCATAACGTAGAGCCCTGGTGCCTAACTCCTGGCTCCACGCTCCTTCCTCCTGCTGTCTTTGCTCATGGAGACTGATAAAAGCTGTGTGTCTGCATTTCGAGAGTTCTTGTCAGAATAACATAAGCATGAGGAGTACAACTCCTATTGACTAATTGCACCTCTGGTATGAACCTGGACCCTGTTCCATCTCACAGCCATCTAACCAGGTAAGGGGGGCAGTGAGGGTCTTACATATATGGGGTTTTACGGTTGACTTCTTTCTCCTGTGTCCTCTTTATTTATTTATCCTATTTTTAATCCTGCAAGTCCTTTCCACAAATGTTTCAGGATTGTTTGAGATATTGATATAAACATCGTTTCTGTGTTCATCCCTTAATTTCTCAGAAGAATGAGGAAAACTGGAAATGGAATAAAAAATCAGCTATGAAATAGAGAAACTCGAGTTGCAGCTCTTTTGTTAAAAGTGTAAAGATTAGCATGGTTTTTGTCAAGAGAGAATAATAAAGGCCATGAACACTGGAAGGAACTGCGAAACAATCATCCATGAGCCAAGGATTAGAGAAAAACCTTGTCTAGGGCGCCCAAGTCTTTCAGGACCATGGACAAAGGCACACACTCTACCAGCCATCCCTCCCCCAAACGCTGTACTGCTTAGGTATACAATATCCTATATCTCTGGAACTTCTTTTCTATGGATCTTCTACAGTGCAAAACCAGTGCAAAGAAAACTCATGTGGCCAGGGTGAATGTCTTGTTATTCAGAGTCCTCCCTACTACCGCTGTGCCTGCAAACACCCTTACAGGGGGCCCGACTGCTCCACAGGTAAGTGCTCGCAGCCCCTTCTCTGCTGGGCTTTCTCTGCCCTGACTTGTGCCTGGGGTCTCTTCACCCTACTGGTGGGGCAGTCAGATATATCTGATGCTTTGATAACATCCATGATGTTCATTATAACTAGGACTTTTTAAGATTCATCATCCCTGGGTAGTTACTAAGAATTGGCTGATCTGTGTCCCTTCCCATCCAAAAACAATCATCTTAAAAATCACTTCCTCCAGAAGGTCACCCCTCATGTATTTCTGGAATAGCTGATGGTGGGAATAAATCTGTCCTGAGCCAGGCATTGTCCCAGGAGGTTTATATGCTCTCTCACATTCTCCCCGAAACACCACAGAGAAGGATTTTACAGATGAAGAAACTGGAGTTCAGAGAGGTTGCCTAACTTGCTCAGAGTCACACAGCTATAAAGAGGCAGAGCCAAGTTTCAACTTAGCTCAGACTGATCCCAAAATCCTGCCCAGTCCATGCCTCTTGCTATTTCTTACTGAGTGAGCCGTCTATTTACATACACTTGGGCACATGGCCTTCATCCGTGTATGTGTATGTTCTAGAGTGTCAGTGGGTAGGCCCTTTCCCTTGGGTGACTCATCTTTTGTGGAAGGATGGACACCAGTGTTTCCTCATCATCTCACATGTAGCTACAACTCCAAGTGGAGACCTCCCCAGCCCCACTTCCTGTGTTCACAGCGGTTCCTGCGTGCCGGCCCAACCCCTGCCAAAACGGCGGCACCTGCTCCCGGCACCGGCGGAGGTCCAGGTTTACCTGTACCTGTCCCGACCAATTCAAGGGGAAATTCTGTGAAATAGGTATGGTTCTCTGCCACCACTTCCTCAGAATCTCAGGGCCACCACCGAGGCCTTTGGAATCCTTCTGTTTGGATTTCGTCTCCAGGATGGGACTCAAGTCAACTCCCAAACTCTGCTACTGCCTCATTTGAGGGCATAGGGTCTGTTTGGGATATACTGCAGGCAAATCAGATACACCTGAACACCCCCTGGTCCTCAGCCCACCTGCCACCAGGTCTTGGGTGAGCCAAAATTAAGTAACCAAGTTCCCACCCACCCATCCACCCACAGTCACTATATCTCAAGCTGGGTTAAATGTGCAACATTCAAGGCACCTTGTTTCTGGGACATTGCAGTAAACTCTTAGAATGATCAACATTCAGGTCCAGTACTCTTGCCCCCTAATACACCTACAGTCACTTTAGGGAGCAGCACACCTGTTGCTTTCTGTCCTCATGGTTCTGCCTGCTGTCCCCGAGGTTCTGATGACTGCTATGTTGGTGACGGCTTCTCTTACCGAGGGAAAGTGAGTAAGACGATCAACCAGCACTCGTGCCTTTACTGGAACTCCCACCTCCTCTTGCAAGAGCATTACAACACATTTATGGAGGATGCTGAGGCCCATGGCATTGGGGAGCACAACTTCTGCAGGTAAAAACTACCTTCTTCCCCAAGATCAGACTCGGCTGCATGTCAGTGTAAGGGTTGGTTTGGCTCTTCCCTCTGCTCCAAGTTTTCCTGGGCCAGCTTAGAAACTCTGAGACAGAACCTGGGGCAGGCTGGGTTATAATGCTGTAATAAACAACCCCCAAACCTCAGTGGCTTGAATCCCTCGACATTTATTTCTCCCTAATACTATGTGTCATGTGGGCTGGTGGCGGGGTAAGAGGATTCTGCTCCACAAAGTGACTCAAATGCCCAGGAAGGGAGAGAAAAAAAAAAGAAACTGAAAAAATGGAGCATGAGTTTTTGCTTTGTTTTTACTCCCTCAACGTAGAAATTACCCGTCATCCTTGCACACATATTCCACTGGCCAAAAATAGTCACAAGGTCCCCCATAACTTCAAGAGGGAAATCTAGAGGGGAAAACAGGGTGTCTGGTGAGCACTGCGGTCTCTGCCACAGGGGTATCCAGGTGTCCCAAGTGAAGACAGTGACAACTTCCTTCTGCCCATTCCGGTGCCTCCCGGTCATTCTCTTGGCTTCCTCTCCCTGCTCGTTGCCTGGCCAAGGCCAAGGGCATTTCTGATCTGCCTATAAGGGGCAGGAATTCTTTGCATGGCTTTAAACTGGTTCTAATAAGTAAGAGGGTTCCCCTTGCACACAACACATGTTATCTTCCACTGTCACTCCCTTGAGCTGTTCCCTCCATGGGGCTGTCCTTGGGGTGACCCCTCAGTAGCCTTTCCTGAGCATGGAATTGGGGGTTTTGGGTCAAGGAGCCCTCCTCTTACCGCGTTTCTATGTCTATGTCACGTTCCTGACAAAGATGGATCTTCAACAGTGATCTCATTTCTTTTCCTACAAACAATTTGAGGTGTCCCATGGATCTGGCCCAAGACTTGTGAGCTACTTCCTGGTCACTGAGATTCTCCTCTGCAAATTAAAGTTTTGCCAAAAAAAAAACTATAAGCATCCTAATATGCCAGAGTCAATCCGTGATCTCAGGGGGCACACCAGAGATGTGGTGCTCTCCTACCCAAAGGCCCTGTAATGAGATCCAGCGGGTTTATCAAGCTTTGACTTTGGGTTATTTTATTTTATTTCATTTTATCCTTTAGAAACCCAGATGGAGACAAAAAGCCCTGGTGTTTCATTAAAGTAAATAGTGCAAAGGTGAAATGGGAGTACTGTGATGTCTCGGCCTGCTCAGCCCTAGGTAAGACGGTGGCTGTCTAGAACCCTGGTCATGTGTAGGACGTGGATCCACAGACAGATGCCCCTGGTCCCCCACCTCTCCACCCCTGTTGTCCCAGCACACCTGCTTTACCAGTCCCCATCCCAGTGGCAACCCAACTGTCCCATCCTCTGCTCTCTGCTCCCCTCTTGGGATGCTGAGCAGGCCTGAATACCTTTGTCAATTCGGGGCTGTGGTCCAACTGTAAATTCATGCTTACTGACTCCAAGTCAGTGCACTCGGCAAATACTCATCGATTATTTGCTGTGTTCCAGGAACTACGCCAGGCTCTGGGAGCACAATGGTGCTCGAGCACTGGCTGGGCCCCAGTGCCTCTCAGGACACAAAATTGCCTGAACCCAGCCTTGCAGTCTTCCTTTCAGGCTGTGTGGCCCACCTCCCCACCCACATCTGCAAAAATGCACCCCCTCCTCCTGATCAGTGGGACTGCTTCCCTGGACAGTTTCACTCCCAAGACTTTGCTCTTATAGTCACCTTTGTCTGTACAACTGCATTCATAGCTGCTCTTGTCCACAGTCCACCATTCTTTGAGAACGAACTCAAGCAGCCCCTCCTCCAGGAAGTCCTTCATGATCTCCCAAGTGCTGTATTCTCTCCCCCTTCTTACAAACCCCACAGAATGGAATTGGTACCACCCTTACAACTTAGCACTTTGTATGACAGATACTTTTGCAAATGTCTTATTTCCCCCATTCTACTTCATCTGGATATCTTTCCCTACATGCTGAAGAAGGCTCCCAAATATATGTGTGCATTAATGACCAGCTAAATACACACTCTGTGACAGATTTATATATTTACACATACACCTTTGTGTGTATATACACGTAAATAACAATGAAAAAGCAACATCACCATTGTTAATTTTATAGACCTACTTTATATGAGTCAATGCAGTAAACAAATATGTGGGTACCACATACCCACCCTGCGTGCACCAGTCTTTTAGCTTGGGACAGTTGCTAAGCTGCTGGACTCAGAGTCAAACCTCTAACAAGGTCCTTCTGAGGACCTGCAGGGGGGAAAATAGCATGATTTGTCTTTCTTGTGTCCCACAGACATTACTGACCCAGAGGAAGGACCCAGTGAGCCCCCGACCAAGCTTCCGGGCTTTGACTCCTGTGGGAAGACTGAGGTCACAGAGAGAAAGATCAAGAAGATCTTTGGAGGCTTTAAGAGCACGGCGGGCAAGCACCCGTGGCAGGTGTCCCTGCAGACCTCACTGCCGCTGAGCACCTTCATGCCCAAAGGCCACTTCTGCGGGGGGTCGCTGATCCACCCCTGCTGGGTGCTTACTGCTGCCCACTGCACTGAGTAGGTGCCCGCAGGGGGCAGAGGACAGGGTGACTGAGACTGTGGGGGTGTCGTCCACTTCCCATGTGAGCAGCTCTGGCAGGATCTGTGGCTCCCCAACGGCACTAAGGTGGCTCCCCAAAATCAGGTGGAAATGAGCTGCCATGTTCAGAATGTGTGCTTTTGAATTCCACGTATTAATGACATTTAGTCCTCAAAAGGGTTTACCAGAAGATGGGCTGAGGGAGGACAGAGATTTTTATTTTTTATTAATTATAGTGTCCCCAATGCCTAGACCAGGTCTTCATACAGAGCAAGTGCTCAGTAAATATTAGTGCAGTGAAAGAGTTAACCATTACTCCCATTTCATAAATTTGGACCCCGAGACTTGGGTGGGTTTAGTACCTGGGCTTAAGTCACATGGTAAATAAGGAGGTGAGTGGGATGCAAACCCAGATCTCCCTGCTTCCTTAACCTCTTCAGTCCTGCCCTGGAAAAAAATAATAACATGCTCCCATCTAATGCCATCAGCAGTGAGCCTGCCAGGTCAGGTATCTTCAGTCCCATGTGCCTCAGAGAAGCCAGAACCCACTGGGGAGCCTGAAGAATCACTACCTCCCCTGAGTCCTCTAAGTTCATGGCCAGGGCTGGTCCCAGGTAACCCAGGTTTTGGTGGTGGCCTTGAAGGTCTTCCAGCTTGCCCTATTATTTAAAAAATTCTTCCAGGACTCTAGGAGGTATTCCTCAAGAGAAGACAAACATGCAAACATTAGCATCTACCAAGAATGTTTGTTCAGAATGTTCATTGGCTGCTCTTTAGAAAAACCCAGGGGGACTGAAAGGTCCCCCAGGATACAGGTTACAGCTCACATTTACATTAAGAGACCATTCCATTAATAAAAGAGCGTCCTCATGTTGCCTCATTTGGACCACGCAGCAGAATTCTGTGAACAGGATGATGATTATGAGATGAGGATCTATAATCAAGGCTGCAGAAGGTCAGATCATTTGTCAAAGGTCACGCAGTTCACCAGAAGCAGACCCTGGGCTTGGCTCCAGTCTCTCTAGTCCCAGGGCTGCTTCCTGACCATCCTACTTTCCTTTGCAGCATAAGAGCCAAGAATCTAAAAGTAGTGCTAGGAGACCAGGACTTGAAGAAGACAGAATTCCATGAGCAGACCTTCGGGGTGGAGGCGATATTCAAGTACAGCCACTATCATGAAGTAGATGAGATTCCTTACAACGATATTGGCAAGTCTCTTCTAGCATGGATCTCCCATGGGTCTTGTCCTGGGTGGATTTCTCTGCTTATGGAAAGCTAAGGTTTGATTCTGTTTAGTCCCTCATAGACCCTATAAGGTAGAGAATTTATTCCAGAGCTTTTTAGTTCTTAAAAGTTAATGTTGTGGATAAATGTACACAAGCTCTTAAACTGAGGGGTAGAGATGCTAGGAACATTTGTTGTAGAAAGAGCTTAGCTTTGATTCCCAGGCACACCACTTTCTACCCAGCTTCACCTCTTTTAGCCTCAGTTTCCTCTCCTATAAAATGGGAACACTGGCATATGACTCTCAGCTTCCTGGGTGTTAAGTGACAGCATGTGCATTGTCCCATGTTAAGTGACAGGTGTGCACTGGGACCCCTAAGCTGCTTAATGCTCAGAGGTTCCATTCATGGTAACTCTCACTCTCTCTTCTTCCTCAATATATTTATTATCCCTCTTAAATGCTGTTTTTAAAAAATCAATTAGAAATTATCTCAAACTCGACTATTATTTATGGTGTTACTCTTGGCCTAAAGTGTTACTCCTCCCAGGTAGAAGTTAAAAGAATGAAATGGTAGAGGAAGAAATGTTTCAGGCATGGGCTTATGGGGCTTTGCTACAAACCTCTTCTAATTAAGCTGAAGTGGATGCTTCTTTGACAAAGAGGATAGCATCACCCATTCACCCTTTCTCTCTCTACCTAGCCTTGCTCAAGCTAAAGCCAGTGAATGGTCACTGTGCTCTGGAATCCAAATATGTGAAGACTGTATGTTTGCCTGATGGTCCCTTTACTTCTGGGACTGAGTGCCACATCTCTGGCTGGGGTGTTACAGAAACAGGTGAGTCTGGCCATGTAGCTCCTTAGACTCAGGTGACTTGCTTTAACTAGAAACAAAAGGGTCAAACTCAACTGCCATTCTGAACTTGAAATCAGTGTTATATTCAACATGTAGTATCAAAAGAAAGAGATCGCCTCATCTCTCAAGCCCTAGTTAAGTCTCTTCACCCCTAGGGAGTGTTCCCTGGTCCCTCCACACCTATTCCTGGTCCTACGCCTGGATCCCTGACTTCCATCAAGTATGAAGACCTTTTGCCTTCCCTAGGTGGACTGGAAAGAGGATACATTGGAAAGAAGGTGAATTGTGGAGTCAGATGTGTTAGATTCTCGGCTTTGTCACTTGGACATCTGAGTTTTAGTTTTCCAATAACCACATTTACCTCCTAGGTTTAGAATCATGATAACAGGAGATGATAGAATTCTGCAGGGATGTTGATGGAGTCAGCCCCTGGAGAGTGGGGTCAGATCTCCTTCATCTTTGCCTTTCTAACAGTGCATTGATCTTAGTAGACGTGTTATAAAGTTTTGTTAAATCAGACTTTTGATTCATCTCTAGGGTTTGTCTTATCCAAGAAAGTAACCAAAGGGTTACTTTCCTCATAGTACTGATAAGATTCTAGCTTCTAATATACAAAACCTAGAAGTAAGTGTATCTTAAGTCTTTCTCAAATACTCAAGATGGATTTCTCTTCCCCACAAATTACATCCTTAATCATGGAAAGTGGGAATTGCTTTAAATAAACCTGTATTCATAACAAAGTGACATGCAATATATGGATTTGTCAGAAAGCTTTGGGGAAAGAAGATTCCTGGTTAATTAGACTTAGGGTTAACCCTTTTGGTAGCTATCTTCACTCTAGCCCATCGAACTCTTACACCATCAGTGTTGCTGACCGAAGCCGACTGAGCAGGCTGAAGGTCCTTTAGGGGGGGAAATGTCTGCTCTGGGAAGCAGGTGACTGAGATGTTCAACCAGGGAAATTCGTTCATCATTAAGCATTTTCTAGCTGGGTAGGTCAGTTGGTTAGAGCATTGTCCCGATATGTCAAAGTTGTGGGTTTGATCCCCAGCCAGGGCACATGCAAGAATTAACCAATGAATGCATAGAATGGAACAACAAATCAATGTTTCTCTCTCTCTCTCCTTCTCCCCCTTCCTCTTTCCCTCTCAAATCAATAAATAAAAAGGTAAATAACTAAATTTTCTACATGCCAATCCTCTGCTAGTCATAGGAAATTAAAACGTGGTGTAAGACACCGCCCCCTGCCCTCCTGACCTTGTGGTCTAGTTGGGGAGGCAGAGGAGGGAAAAATGACTTTGCTCCGCTGTGATCAGCACAGCATCGAAGGTCTGGGAAGCCACGGTGAAGGCTGCGGGCCAAGAGCCCCCAGCCTTGACAGATGAGGCTTCTCTGCCGGTCCCCTGGAAAAACCCTTCCTTCCTGAGCTCGGAGCTGGTGGCTACTGGTGGGGTGGGGGCCACCCTAATCCCCACAGTGACCAGCTCTTTTCTCTGCCCCACAGGGGAAGGGTCCCGACAGCTCCTGGATGCCAAAGTCAAGCTGATCGCCAACACTGTGTGCAACTCCCGCAAACTCTACAACCGCATGATTGATGAGACCATGATCTGTGCGGGAAACCTTCAGAAGCCTGGGGGGGACACCTGCCAGGTAGAGACTCACATGGCACTTGGGGAACAAGGGTCTTGAGGGACCTTACTTTGGGCACAGAGGCGCCTTTAGAGCCCTGGGCTGGGAGGCAGGTTCAGCACCACCCCGCCTGCCGTAAAGCACAGGCACAGGTGGGCATGCGTGGCCTCTGTCGCACCTGAACCATATCAATCCAGGATGAGTCAGCACAATAACCAGAGCGGTCACTTTGCCTGCAGTGCTCAGTTTAATTCTCATGACACCCTATCCAAAGGGATGTCATTATCACTGTCATCTTGGCCTACAGCACCAGAGTGGTAAGTGGGAGAGCAGGAACTCGAATGATCCTGGTCCATAGACACCCAAGCCTTGCTCCACGGGGTTTAAAGGTGAAGGTGGCACTTCTGGCTATAGAGCTGGGCAGCACGTCTGAAGTCCCAATAAGCAGAGAACTGCCCAGAAGATCAGTGGCTAGGAGAACAATAAGAAGCCCAGAGAGTTTACAATGTTAACTATCAAATCACTGAGATTTAAGTGTATGTGTGAGGGAGGGAGAGAGAGGGAAAGAGAGAGGAAGAGAGAGACTTGGTTTGCCTCAGCAAGCGAAGCCTCTCTGAGCAGCCCCTCTGTGCCCACAGCGAACTGAGGCCCTGCCCTTCAACCCCCACAGTCTAGGACTTTCTGGAAGCCCAAGCTGCTCAGGTCTGTGGTGACCCAGAGGCTGCTGGAGGGGGACAGAGTGGTGGCTCTGTTAATGATGCCAAAGTGACCTCAAGCCTCTGCCCCAAGTCAAAGCCCACTTCCCACAGTCCCTCTCGCTGGAGAGGTCACATCACACAGAAAATGCCCTTCCCAGACTTCTAGAAATGCCCCAGTTTAGAAAATCCTGGTTATTGTTCTCATACACCACCCACCTGAAAACCCCAGCACAGCCACGTTCAAGTTCTAACTTCTCCCTACAAAGGGATCCAACAATTACCTGCTGGACTTGAGCCAACTTTGGGATGGATAATCACGGTTGCAGCTCTACTATAACCTTCTGTCCCTTCCCAAGGGGCCATCAGTATCCACCTACTCAAAGAGGGACATGAGCAGATGGGTGCAATTTGCCCTAAGCCTCCGGAAGATGAGGAAGAAAGCAGCTTTTTTGATTCCCTAGAAATTTGCAAGGGCTTCACTTGCAGGCTTTGGAAATGGACAGTTGTGGATGTAAAACCTGGTTCTGACTTTTACTTTGTGACCTTTATCAGTCACCAAATGACTAAGCTCAGAATGCTACAACAAAAGACTGTAGACTGGGGGACTTAGACCACAGAAATGTGTCTCTCACCGTTCTGGAGGCTGGGAGTCTGAGATCAGGGGGCTGGCATGGTCGGGTCCAACCCTCTGCCTGGTTGCAGATGGCCAACTTCTCGTTGTATCCTCATGTGGTTGGGGAAAGAGCTAGCTCCCCAGGGTCCCTTTAACAAGGGTGCGAATCCCATGCTCCACCCTCAGGACCTAATCACCTCCTAAATGCCTCCTGATCCCATCACACTGGGGATTAGGCTTCAGCGTAACAATTTGGGAGCAACAAAAACATTCAGCCCATCACACGGAAATAATTCTCCAATCTCAGGCGCCTGCGCTATCAGGTGGAATCAATGCATCCATAAGATCATAAGGCCATGGCTAAGATGCAAAGAGATACCTCACCAAAAAATCCGATCAGCTGCAACATGTGGTTGAGTGCCATCATCTTCCTCACCACTTTGACTGGAGGTTGCATATAAACCAGCCACTGTCCTATGTGCTTTACGAACGTGAATCCTCCCAAGAACCCCGGGGGTAGGAGAGTGTTCTGTTGCTATCCACAGTTCACAGTGTGAGAAGCTGAGGCCCAGCTGGCTAGCAGATGGTAGGCCTGATTTGCAACCCAGGAGATCTAACCCTGTAAGCCACAGTGACCTCTAAGTCATGCTGGTTCTGAGCCTCGCCCGCCCCACCATGTGTTTGTGTGTGTGCCCTTGAATCATGGAAGGGCTCTATGCAAACTGGACACTGGCCCCCCTAGGTCTCTGCTGAACAAGTCAAGGGCCCCTGAGACTCCCAGTCGTGATGCCTGAGATACCAATAGTCAGACTGAGCCTGGATGTAATGCTGTGGCCGTGACTGTGGCCCCGGCCCTGGGGCCCCTCTGCCAAGCCCTTGCTGACTCAGGGGCCTGGGCTGGTGTTTGCTTCTCTCCCTTCAAAGACTTGACTCTCATGAATCACAGGAAGAGTCTCGTTTTGGCTTCCCAGAGCAGCCCAGCCCATCACCCACTGGCACACCCTCCTAGGAAGTGGCGTGTCTCCTAGTGGATTCTGACTCACAAAGTTGATCTTTTCCCCTTAGGGTGACTCTGGAGGCCCTCTGACCTGTGAGAAGGATGGGACCTACTACGTCTATGGGATAGTCAGCTGGGGCCAGGAATGTGGGAAGAAGCCAGGGGTCTACACGCAAGTTACCAAATTCGTGAATTGGATCAAAGCCACCATCCAAAGGCAGTAAAGTTTCTAAGGTGTCTCCAGAACCTCAGACAAGGCGAGGACTCGCGGGCAGCAATGAACACCCCTTGGAGCTCCCAGGATGCCACACAGCAAGGGCTCCACGCTTGAAGCAGAGAGCTGCTGCCAGCCTGGGGTGTCCCGGACCAGCACCTCCACCATTTCATCAGGCTCCCTCCCCAGTCACCCAAGAACTGGCAGAATCGATCTGAAATACATATTGTTTGCTTCCTTTTGAACAATGGTACCTTCTGGAAAACCATTGTTCACTGACTGCCTCCACCTTGGACCTTTGTAAATGCAGGATTTCAGAACACTCAGCATCGGTTGGAGTCACTTTGGCATCTTTATTCCTCACCCCAGACACTTGAGGTCCACAACAGACCCAGCCTTCTGCTTCCAGGTATCAGAGAGGGGACCAAAAAAATACAGCATTCGCCGCTTGCTTTCACAGAGTTGTTATTTCAGCAAAGGCAGATCGGAGCACGGGCTGGTGTGTTCACAGCTCCCCCAAGCTGAAGCCACCTGGGCGTGTCTCTGGTGTGCACATGTCCCCTCCAGCGTCTCTCCTGAGACGCCTGGGTGGACACCGCTTGCTCACAGAAGCAGTGCCTTCCTCCTCTTGACGTGCAGGATCTCGGTGGCATCTGGGTTCACGTCCCCCCTCTGATTATCTCCAGTCTCCATAACCTCTGCCCCTCTCTGCAGAAATCAAACGTACCTCCTTCAGTCAAAATGAAGCTTCCAACCTGCTCCCACAGGGTAAGCTGTCTAAGATACCCTGGGAGCATTTAAAACGTTTACCCACCCCTCCCTCTTCCCCGCCACCACCTCTTCTAGAAAAAGGATCCTCAAGGCAAGAATGAGGAAGAAGCAAAGCCAATCTCCCCTTCAGATGTGGTGTCTTTCTTCTGAACAAAGTAGGGTTCAAAACCCAGACTGTTATAGCCAGCAAGTCCCTGACCTTTTCTGTGAATGTAATGAGCAAGCAGGCAGCCCAGCCTGGGCTGCCGTGGCCCAGGATTGATGTAGCCCTGGCAGGTTCTTCTCCGCCAGACTAATGGCTGTGACTTCAGAGAAAACCCTGCAGGACATTTAACCCAGGTGTCAGCCACCTGGTCATCTCAGACCCGTGAAATTAGGCACCTTGCTCAAGATGCATTCCACACTTCTTTAGAGCCAGCTGGCCTTTGGCCAAAAATAAAGTTTGAAGAGAAACAGCGAACTTGCCTTTCCCCATGGTCTTGCAGACTAGGGTGGGTTTGCACCCTGCTACTTACATAAGCCGCCTGGAGGCCCAGGCCCCTCGCATTGGCCAGTTCTGCAGCCCGCCGAGCCATTTCCACTTTGTAGGAGCCAGGAGGAGTCCAGCCAATACCTCTGGTCAGGTTCAAGTCTGATTTGTACTTGACCTTGGTGAAAACAAAGGGGGAAGGAAGAGGACTATGTCATCGGGTTTGGAAGTGTTTGGCCACAGCACAGAGAGGATTAAAAGCAGCCACGAGAGGAATCATGAGTTGTTGACTGAGACCCGACCCAGTGCGCTGTAGGCCTGGCCAGCCTGTCACTTTCCCTGGCATCTTTCCCTTCAAGTGATAGGAGTGGCAGTGGGGGCAGTGGATGGGGAGACCTGGTTCAAGTTCGAGCTCCCACCTTAACGTGCTCTGGAGCCTTAGAGCAGTCACTTCCCTGCTGCAGGCTTCGATTTCCTCCCAGAGAGGAAAGGCCAGGGCTGGGTTGGGTAACTGCTAAGGCCCCTTGACAACAGTCTGGCATAGCAATCAAGAGCTTGGGCTCTCACATCAGACTGAACGATGTTCCTGTCCCAGGGCTGCCACTTATAGGCCATGGGATCTCGAGTAACTTATGTAACTCCTCTGAGCCTCAGTTTCCTCATCTGTGAAATGGGGTGATACGGGGTCATTCTGAGGACCAGATGGCACAATGCTTGGAAAGAATTTGGCCACAGCCTGGGCCACAATAAGGATTGGATAAACAGCAGTAATTGTCACTATTTCTTTAGGAACTAACGTATTAGGTGCCCTGGGCTCTATCTCAGTCTGGCTCCTCCCAGAGGCAACATGAACATGAGGTCAGAGCCATCTCCCTGGAAGAGGCACCAAAGAAAGTGCCTTGGCCAGGCAGGTGGGGGCAGCTCACATCACTCTGCAGCTGGTGGGCCTTCTGCGCATGCTTCAGGCCCAGCTGCTCCGGGTCGCAGGTGGGCTGGGGCAGGGGCTGCCTATAGCACACGTCGCTGGCCAGCTGCTGGCTCCTCTTGGCCTGGAGAAAGCCGGGCTGGTCTGGGCGGCTGTGGAACTGGGACCGACTCTTAGCAAAGTCCTTTTTGTACTCGTTGTCACTCTGGAGTCTGCCGACGCTGAGGACATGCCTCATCCTGGGGTCGTCACTGATGCTGCGGTACCCAATCTGCAGGCCCCGGTCCCGCAGGAAGGCCTCTTTGTACCGGAACTGCAGGTCAGAAGAGCAGAGATGGGTCTGGGTACCCACCCCTCCCCTGCAGGATCCTCAGCAGGAAGTCTGCAGTGGGTTAAGGGTACTGCTTTGGATTCAATTAGACCTACCACCTGCATCTCCCTCTGCTACCTCCCAGCTGTGTGATTTGGGCCAGTTACTGAGCCTGTCTGAGCCTGTTTCCCCATGTGGTAAAATGGGAGAATGAGCCTACACCCCAAGGGATACTGAGCAGATTCCATGACTAGGGCATTAGCATCATGTCCGGCACTGAGAGGTGGCTCCTGGCATTATTGCTACTGTAATCCATAGTCCAACAGGAAAAGAAATACGCGCATTCTCTCAGCAGCTGCTCTTCCTCTGGTTCTTTCCGGCTTTCAGGGACCCAGGCCAGTGCTCCTCAAACCATCTACAGTGAACGACCACACCCATTCTGGTTGGCTTTTTAATATCCAATCCATCAAAGCCCAATATGTAGTCCTACCGTGTGCAACTGCTGTGTAAGCGGTACCACCTGCATTTGAAAACACCCTAACTGGCCTCCCCCCTGCTCAGGCGAGATGAGTCCACAGGTCACAGGCACAAATGTCACATGTCTAACTGCTGAAAGTCTTTCTAAATGCTTGCTCTTGATTTCTGTATGTGTCTCCTCGTGGACCAGCAACAAGTCGGGAGGCCTTCATCGTCCATGGCAACAGCTGCGGCGGTTTGAATGCCTGCTCCGGGCATGACCCGCTAAACCATCCTGTTTCCATTTCTACATCCACCCTCGGAGACGAGTGTCAGATCCAGATGCAGAAGTTTGAGTTCAGAGAATCTAAGCAACTTGCCTGAGACCGCGGAGCCAATTCTTAAGTGATCGAGCCAGGATCTAAACTCACGTCAGTCAAAGGGAAAAGCCTAGTCTCTTTCTACCCCATCACACTGCACGTCCCTTTCCCACAAATAGACAAATCCATCACATGTTAACTGACTTCTAGAAAACAAGGCCTATTTTTTCTTTCCTTTGAAATCCTCATTCGGTTTTGGTTCCTGATGGTTTGCCTTTCGACAGGACCAGAGAAACCGAGATAAAACCTGTAGGCAATAGAGGGAGACAGAGAGACATGAGGTCTTACATCACTGGCGATCTCCCTGGACGCCCGTGCAGTCTGGAACGGGATGGCATCCAACCGGAAGTCATAGCCACCAGCCCGGGTCTGTTCCCAAGAGTTTCTGTAGACTTTCTAGACAGGGAAAACAAAGAAAAGCGTAAGCAGGGAGTAACACCATGTCTGCCATATCTTTGGTCCTCAGCAGGCACAGTTTCAAAACACAAACCCTTGCCTTGTGGGTGCCCAGAGTGGCAGAGCCCATGGCCCCACCCCCATCCTGGATCCTCCCCAGATCTGGGACTGATGGGGCTGGCCACCAAGGGCTTCAGGTCTAAGCGCAACCTGACCGCCAGGCCCTGCTCTTGTGGGTCATGGGGTCTGTGGGTCTGGCCCATTGGCCACATCTGGTTGGATGAAGCCCCTACCCCCCTCCCTGCTGTGCTGCCATTCACTTTCAGGGCTTCAGGTTTGCAACTTCTAGACTCCAGAACTGGACGTTCAAGGGCTCAGCTTCTTCTAACATGCTGAAAGGGCTATTCCTTGGGACCTGGTACCCATGTGTTCATTAGCTCCACTGACTTGCTAGGGCCCCTTGGCTGCCTTTGATGCTGTGTCCCCCCATCACTAGGAAGCATGCTGCATCCCACCTGCACCTTCGGTGCCTGCACTGAGTAAGGAAAGAAACTTCACCTGAATTAAGTTGATTGTCAAGAACCTGACCGAGTTCCCAACCCATGGATTTCACATCTTCCTCTTTCATTTCCCCTTTTTCAAGTTGTTCTCACACACCCACTGGGAGTCTGGAATCATATCACCTTAGTCATCAGGTAGACCTGCATCACCGACGGAGGCATCAAAATCTCCCATGCCTCCATGTAGCTAATATTTTTTTTTCAAGATAAGGCAATGGCTCTGTGAAAGGAGTCACCCAGAGCTCCCAGTGGAGGATCTGTCCTTTGTTCAGCCCCAGAGAAGGGAAGCAGCAGGAGAGGCCCATCACCAGCGTTTGATACAGCGACAGCCCCAGCGTGTGCCAGTTGCCCGCTCATTCTGTGAGCCACAGCATGTCAGGGCGCCCTTCAGAACCTCACTTTTGTCACTTGGAAATTGAGGTCAAGGTTGGGGCTCTGTTCTGCAGGGGATTGGGTGGGGGGATTGAGCAAAGGAGCAGTGGCAGATAAAAAGATAAAAACCTCACCCACCCTACAACTGGGCCTGGAATTAGAGGGGACCACTGAGAGCTTGGGCCAAGCGTGATGGATCTCATCATTTCCGTGTCCTGCTGTCCATCTTCCCCTGCATCTTAGCCTCCAACTCCAAGATCTAACGCCACAAACCAGGAGCCAACTGCCTACCGTGTTCAAGGGTCACAGATAATCACCAGGGCAATCACCTAATTGGAGGATCTCCAACAGGGCCCAAATGATTAGATTTCCGGGGTCACCACTGAGTTTTAGCATATGGGACTGGGAGCCATGTAAAAGGGAAGGGGCATTCAGAGACTGACAGACCCACCATCCTCTTTAGCACTGTGCTTCCTGTTTGGGGGGGGTCCCACAAATTTCAGAGTAGCAAACAGAGTCAAAACACTTATCATTTCCTGGGGAGGGGACAGTCAGCACCTCCCTTATAAGAGCCTGGTCCACACCAGACCCTGGGCGAGGCAATGACAGCAAACTTTACAGTGTCCGTCCCCAACATGAGCCCACTTCAGTGTCCCATGCACCCCGGCTTCTGAGTCTCTGTGACTGAGGGTCAACTCGAGAGTGCAACCCAGCCCAGGGT